TTTTATAGCCCCCTGTTTGAGTCACATTAAAATTTTCATTTTCATTTTTCTACTCATTTTCAACTACACGTTCTTCAATAAAATAATATTTTCCATTACATCAATAACTTTTCCTTCTTTTTCAACCACATATTCTCCATCATTCTACTATTCCAGAATACATTCTTCCAAAATAATGTGGCTCAAACACACCCTTAATAAAATGTAATTCCAACTAGATACTCCACCTAGGTTGCCGTTATTCCATCATTATAATAATAAATAACATTATTCATAAAATATTGATGGATGCACAACACAAGAAAAAAGGCACTTGAGCAGTAATGTCGCTTCCAACAATAATTTTCAAAGCATTTAAGCAATCTCCACCTTGATACCTAATCAACCTACAAGCAACAAAAACACAAAGTTTATACTTGTATAATCAAGACAACCAAATAAAATTAGAATCATAGACCTTACCTCGTATTTCGAACTCAAAAGACATACCATACCAGTCACATGTACTCACTCACTAGGGCCAAGGTAAAAAAATCCAAATAAAAACAAGTAATTACATTAATCAATCAATAACATATCATACATGCGATGAAGATATAATAAGGATAACACAAAAATATTTTCAAACATGTTCACACAACAGATTAACACCAAGTTAATCAATCAAACGACCAACACATATGAAACAGATGCATAGATGACCCCACAAAAAGATTTGACTACACTTATCATATCACATTTTGTGTTGCTCACACCTTGAGAACACGTATCTCCTTTCATCGCCCACCATACTCACTAGGCTGATCGATAAAACATACCTAATTAGTAAATTACTGTAGATCCTAAGTACATGGATAATCCTCTATCTCTACCTTACTTCTCTCAACCTAGGTGGATAATGAGTCTCCATCTAATAGAAGTGATAGAAGTGTCACTTTCACACTCTACCTGATCACGATTTTACCAGATAGACGATTCTAACATTTAATCACGTCTCCACTCGTGATCCAAATGTCACACTTCATATCCCTAGTTCATACCATCAATGCATCATTAGGCATCTATGCTCCACATCACCAAAAGACACACAACACACTTACTGCTAATGCAGCTAATGCATTCCAACTCACCAGTATGCAAATACATTACACCAAGTAATCAAATTGCTCTCAAATTCATGCAAATGCACATATCAAACGTATTGAAATGTAACATACAATCATGCGACATAATTAAACAATTACACAGATGTATAAAGGATTACATATATATGCACATGCAGTAACTATGTTTATTCTCAATAAACCTTAGTAGAGTCATCACTAGGCACAATAACGACATTCACTTCACCTCTAATCTTACCCTTATGCCTATTAATCTTCTTAAGATAGTCCATCATAAAGTGTCCAACCTACCACAACTGTAACGCCACTTATCACCGGGCTTATCCCAAACCCTGCCCTTCTTCTTACCACATTCATCACTCGATTCACTACTGTCTTGACTTTACCCAAACTTATTTATGTAAACTTCATTCTACTCTCATCATATGTACCTCACAACTTCTCTTATCCTCTCTTTCAGCCTTAATCCTCATTTCCTTACTCCTAAAGAAGTCTATGATAATTTCGAGGTAAGGTGTCCCTACCATACTTAATTGCATTCTTAACACCTCTATATGAATTAAACACAAAATTAAGCAATATCATGGTCTTATAGGTCTCAGACACCTTCTCATCATAATTAACAATTCTTGAACAAATTTGTTAAAAACATCCAAATTGTTATCAAGATCATTTGAATGATCCATTTT